CCAAGGGAGTAAAAACATCAAATGTTGACATGATCAGTGTGATTTAAGACTTCCATTCCAAGCAAACATTTGTGCTTTTTCTATTCCAAACAAATGAATAACTTTGCCAAATCATTTCGATTATTTCAAAGGACATTATTTTTGCCAGTTATTTTAAGTGGACTTAACCAACTGAGTTACATGCAAAAAGGATACTTTACTGACTAACATACTTTATTAGGTACACCTTGCCAACCGCTACTTCACGCAAATTTCTAATCAGCCAATCACATGGCAGCAACTCAATGCATTTAGGCATGTAGACATGGTCAAGACGTTCTGCTGCAGCTCAAGCAGAATGGGAAAGAAAGGTGATTTAAATGACTTTGAACATGGCATGGTTGTTGCTGCCAGACGGGCTGGTCTGAATATTTCAGGAACTACTGATCTGCTGGAATTTTCACACACAACCATCTCTAGGGTTTACAAAGTATGGTCCGAAAAAGAGAAAATATCCAGTGAGTTGCAGTTCTGTGGGTGCAAATGACTTGTTTATGTCAGAGGTCATAATAGCATAACAGCATCTCTGAATACGTCCAACCTTGAGGTGGATGGGCTATAGCAGCAGAAGACCAATAGAGCACATTTGGGATGTGGTGGAACAGAAGATTTGCATTATGGATTTGCAGCCGACAAATCTGCAGCAACTGCGTGATGCTATCATGTCAATATGGGCCAAAATCTCTGAGAACTATTTCCATTACCATGTTGAATCCCCAAAAGATTAGGGCAGTTCAAAACAAATAGGAGTCCAACCAGATACTAAGGTGTACGGTACTTAGTAAAGTGGTCGGTGAGTTTATTGTTGGATAATTAGTGATTTTAGATATTAACTAACTTTTTTTTTTGTAATTTGCGCAAAGCAAATGCCATACAGATTCTTCAGTTTTCTTTAGAATCTTTCACATATTTGAACCCTTTCTAGCAGTGACTGCATCATTTTGAGATCCAGCTTCTCATTACTTTTTGAGAATTAAATACAATGAAACATATTTGATGTACAATATCTTACACAGAACACTACTAAATGTAAATGATCATGGTATTTTGTATGATCTCTCTTATTTTGGTAAAATTGTTCACTTGATTTAGGAAGGAGTTTATAAACAAACTTTCAAACCGCACTATATTAAAGTCAGAATTATTAGCCCCACAGTATATTAGAATTATTTATAATATTTAATAAATTTATTGTATTTTATTAACATCTACCCCCACCCCAAGCCTAAACCCAAACGTCACAGTAATGTAGAAACAGTAGTTGTACAGAGTATTATTTGTTATCTATTAAATTACCCAACAAATTATATTTTTTAACACCTACCCCACCCCAACCCTAACAGTCATAGTACTGTAAAAGTATGAATTTTTGTTATACAGTGTCATAAAAAATGCTGCTATATTGATGTGCATATCACACTTCTGGCTGCCTGCGTGTCCGATCTAGACTTTACCGATTGTACGGGTTTAAATTTTCTAGGTGGGTATAGAAATTTTGGGCGGTTTGGCATTTTTGATTTTCACGACCATCACAACCAACACCACTCCCACCCCACCCAACCCCAATGGCGGGTTTCGGATAGTTTTGGGGCTGGAATCAGTCTGCTACATCTGGCAATACTGGTCTTATTCACTCCCATTCATTTTTAGACGCTAAAAACAGCTCGTTATGCTATTTGATGTTGCAAACTGACATTTTATTTTGATTATATTATTCTGCTTTGTTTGTTTAATAATGCAAAAGCTTGATTTTAAAGCAAGTAGTTTAACCGTTTTCTGTGTATTATTCCTAGTCATTTCAGTCGGAAGTTCTAAAATAATCGCAAAAATGAGCATACTTCCGCATTGAAGAATAAGGTCAATAAAGATGGTTTGTTTTGTAGACCATCGGAAAATATAAACAGCGTATTGCTTAAGGGGCTAAAAAAATTACCTTAAAATGGCTTAAACTGCTTTTATTCCATAAAATAAAACTTTCTCCAGAAGAAAAAATATTATCTTAAATACTGTAAAAAACTCTTTGCTCCTTTTAAATATTTCCCAATTTATTTATCAGTGGAGAACACAGGAGGACTAATATTTTTTGACTTCAACTGTACATATGTGTTTGTACATTGTACACACACATTTAAGCACATTAAAAGCAATCTTAAAGAAATATGAGGCTCACTTACATTTTTAGTTCAAAACCAAAATGACATATTTGATTTAACAAAAAAAGCTCATACTCCATGTCTGTCAGGGTTTCCATAAACGTGGCCATACTCAGCACTGAGTGACATTTTCTGGCAAACAATCAGCACATATGCAGGGACCATAAAAAGCACTGTAAAAACTCATTCACATCTATTTTAACCACGAACTCTCCCCATAATTCATTATTAAATGTCATGGGTTTAAAGATATATTTATAGATACATTTATATGCCTTTTAGCCTGTGTGCATTACACATATAGCTTTTATTAAGTCCCAATCGGACCAAACTGAAAACCGGACTAATGAAAAAAAAGACATTACATACTGAAATGGACCACAGTGGTGGAGGCAAGACTCAGATCTGCATGAAATGTAGTTTCTGACTAGCTTAAAATGAGTTTTCATGGATAAAAACAGTTTGAAATGAAAACACGCCAATATGGTTAAATAATCCCACTTAAATAACTGAATGTTTTGAAATCTGTACATTGCGTCAATGCTGTGACACACTATTGGGAATGTGTTGAAACCGACTTTGCCAGTAAAAGCATGATTAATCATTACTAATGTATTAGTCAGAGTAAACCGAGCGACTGATCTTCTCTTTTCCAACAGTGACTGTATGTTTGTTCACTCAAAACGAAGCTGTATCTCTCTTACACATCTGAGCCAAGCCCTGGGGGATCCTTGAGTTAACATACTGTCTGCAAACCTTCAGAAAACACACACAAAAATAATCTTTTCCTTTCTGCACGTGGGCCGGACTGCCATGCTTGGTGTTGGATTTATATTTGGCTTGAGAAATCATCTCTCCTTTTACTGTTGAAAAACGTTTTGGTCAATAAAAGCCTGATGGCACACACTTTCACATAAACACACACACACGCACACTCCTGTGGAGCAGAACAACATTACACGCATTCACAGAACAATTGAATAAATCTGGAGTCTTCTGAAGCTCAAATAACGAAAGAAGCCTGTGAAAGTGAAAGGAGGAATGATATGGGATAAAGAGGAGGAATGTGGGATCTTAAAAAGTGAAAAATTTCGAGAGAGAAGGCAATGGTTTAACCGCTAACCAGCTGTTTTCTGCCTGTCATTACTTTCAAGCCGAACAGCCCTAAACAAAACACCTGGTGCTCGAGAAGATAATCACGGGAAAGAGGGAAAAAGGTGAAACATGTTTCTGTCTGAAAGAGAGATTTCAGTTCAACAGGAAGCATTTGAGCATCTCCAACAATCTCCACCAAGTTCAATAAACAGAAAAGTTTAAGCTTAAATTGTTAAATTGTAGATGGAACATTGGGAGTTGTTGATTGATTTTTAAATGACCAATAACAACAGTCCTAAATAAAGTAAATCCGGAATCCACGGTTAGTTAGAACTGCAATGAACTGTATGCACAGTTAGTGTTTTTCAGTCAATGATGAACTTCCAGGGAAAGCTCAATAGACTTAGGCATCCTTTTAAACACAGACACTGTCATTGGCAGCAGGCTAGCGCAGAAATTCAATCGAAAATACTGGGGTAAAATTAATGTACATATTTTAAATACATGTTTCGGAAAAATATAATTTAATACAGTGCTTCCTGTTTGGTCTGATACCCAATTTATATTGTATCTCAGCCAGGCAGTAAAGATTGCTGTTTTATTTAGGGAAAGCATATCTTATATGCGCGATTTTATATGGGATGAGAATTAGAAGCCGCTGGGGTTGGCTAAATGAAATTAAAAGTCTGTGTGCATATACCCTATTCAATTCAAATATCCAAACAACCTTATTCCTAAAAGACAACATTTTTGGTTATGTCAAACTTGATAATAATCACAGAAGTATTTACGTCTGAGAGTAATTTTTTAGATTTAGTTATGAAACCAGCTTAATCTAAAGGCAATTTGTAACTTTTATTTACATCAACTAACCAGAATAGAACCTTATCGAACATTGTGACCAGTATTTTTTAAGGAATATCTTAAAATGCAGATGGACAAGTGGATGCATATGCTACAGGTTCATTCATTGAATTTTTATATATGTATTTTTTGATACATTCAATTTGATAAAATAATTTCAGGCTATATGGGTTTAATCCATGAAACAATGTTGTTGAACAAATTCGTTGAGTAAATGATTCAATCACTTAAAACAAATGGTTGCTAAACTAAAGGAATGCTTCAATGGCACCATCATTGCATTAATACGTTTTGGAAACCAATCATTTTTACATACAGTGCTCAGCATTATTAAGCACACCCCATTTTAAAAATGAATACTTTTATCCATTCCTTAGTGAATGTATTTTGGTGCATTTTAACAAAAAAGATTTATTAACAGATACATTAATTAAAATATTATTTTAGTCACCAAACATAATTAGAAATTGAAAGATAATACAATTAAATTAAAGCAAAGTATTGCAAAAACTATTATAACCTACACATTTTTTTTTTTTTTTTTTTTGCATATCCTGATTTTTCCCCTTTTTTTAATTTGTATTTATTATATTTCTATATCATATAAATTTGGGTGTACTAGTTTTGGACTGTTATAAGTCATTTTGTAAAATAGGCACCAGATTTGGCTTCAGTACTGACTAATCTAATGTATATGCACAAACATAATATTGAATAGCTTCCCATTACAAATATGAATTTAAACGATCGATTTGTGAGGGGTGTACTTATGCAGAGTACTGTCGAGCTATAATAAGCAAATTGAACATTCACACAAAAAACATGCTAACAAAAAAGACCTCAACAAGATGTCAAAACACACAGACTTGAATTTAATCATGATGTTACAGCATGTACATAAAATAAAAAAAACTTTATACACTCATGTACAAGCAGGAGACCTGCTTATAAAATACCCGAAGCTTTGCTTAACAAATTGAGTTTTTGAAACTATTCATCCAAAAAATGATTTTGCTGTCAATTTACACACCACTGGGCAATCAAATATGTAGAAAACCTTTTGTTGTTGTTGCTGATAAGATTTGTAGCTGAAACTATTACTGCAAGTAAACGGTTAACAGCACATATATACTGTAGCTGAAACTAATTTAAAATCCAAGGTTTCTGACGATACATTAAGGTCTCATAAATTGAAACTGTTCTAGTTTGCATCGGCACATGTCATTATACCGAAGACTTAAGAGTTTAAAAGATTAGTTTGCCCAAAAATAAAAACTCGGCTATCAATTCCTCACGCTCATGTCGTTCCAAACCCCTGAGACATTTATTCATCTTCAGAACACAAATTAGGTACAAGGTAAATCTGAGAGCCCTCTCATCTTCCATAGATGGAAACGGTCCTAAGAGGCACCAAAAAGGGAACAAAAACTATTTTAAAAACATTTTATGTGACTTAATTTGTATAATTATTATTCATGTAAAGATCACATTTTGCACACCAAAAAAAAAAAACTTTGCCCTTTGACATTTTGCCATTTCTTCTGTGACAGGTTACAGTGCGCATTTACTATGGGCAATACAACATATTGCCATTAGAGTGAGCAGCCGCGTATATGCATTGCATTGACTGTAAATGAACATACTAATCTGACGCAGAAGACAACACCAAACTAATAATTTAAAAAATAAAAAATAAATTGGCTCATAAAAGTGTTCTTGGTTTTCATATGATTACAGATGCACTACTGAAGTCACATGGGATGCTTTGACACTGTTTTTGGTTCCTTTTCTAGACTTTGAACCATTGCTGTCTATGGAGGACGAGAGAGCTCTCGGATTTCATCTAAAATACCTTAACTTGTGTTCTGAAGACATAAAGATGAACAATTAATAACAGAATTTAAATTTTTAGCTGAACTAACCATTTAATGTTGAAAATAATATTTAGTTTCATCACCAAACTGATGGTTTCACTTCATAATATATAATTTGAAGATACAGGTATTACTTTTGCTTTGCCTAAAAGTGTTTTTGACTTTGTTTAGAAGTGCCAGTAGTAACTGAGACTGAAATTTAAAGACTTCTTTAAATTTAGTTTGTGGCAAAAACAAGTCCTGCATCTTGGATGTCCTGAAGGTGATTAATCCAACAGCAAATTTGAGTTTTTAGGTGAACTATTCCTTTAGGCTTAATAATATCATTGTAATATAAGAACAGCTTTGTATAACGCAGCCAAGCAATGAGCAATTATTCCAATTAGTCCACTGACACAGTCAATCCACAATTTCCATTTGTATTTGTTTTTTAATTAATTATCTATGTGTGTGTGTGTGTGTGTGTGTGTTATTTCTTCAAATCCTCTAAAATCTGGTGTGATCCTACAATAGTGAACAGCACTTTTACTGTATTTGGGCAAGACAGTCTGATGTGCTTTATTTTCACTTTTCTTTAAAGAATGACCCAAATAAAGCTAATAAAATACAGTCTATGAAACTAATCGGATGGAAAAAGGGCAAAACCAACTTTGAGAATCACCTGATATCACACAAGTGTGATCAATTTCATTTACTTCTTTTTACCTTTCTTTGTTTAATCTGGAAGAGGTTTTCATCAGTGGGATACGCGGCAGAATCTTTAGCCGCTTTTTGTTGTCTCTTTCTCTGTATCCTCTCCTTCTTTTTCGACTTGTCTTTTTTCTTCATGTGGTTCTTCTCCACTCCAAACAGCTTTACTGGCTTCACATTGGCTTTTTGAGGTGACGAATGAAAACCTGCCTTGTGAGGGCTCTTTTTGGAACCTCTGGGAAAGTCGGCATCTTCATCTATAACTGCAGCCTTTTTCTTTTTCCTTTTCTTGTTCTTGGCTTCTTTATTTTGAGATTTGAACTCTTTGCTTTGAGGGGTGTTTTTGCCGTGGGGTCCTGGTTTTTTGGAGTTCTGCTTGACCCTCCAGTGTGTGTTTTGTTGGTTTGTTTGTGGATTGTGTTTGGGTGTGTGTGCGATACGTTTCTTCGGTGTGTGCTGGTTGTTTGTGTTGTTTGAGTACGGATGTGGACTGTGGCTGACTTTTTGTTTCTTTCTGGGTGGTTGAGGGGTAAATGTTACAACGCCTCCATCAGGAGAAATCAGTCCGGCGTCCTGCATTTCTGTAAGAAACGCATCATTAAGTCTTTAGCTCTCAACAATGTTTATTTAACTGAAATGATCAGAATCTAACAAACCTCTGGCCTTCTTTTTCAGACGGAAATCCCGGCATTTGATGTCATTCACTGTGTCATAATAGGTGATAACTGGCAAGGATGGATAGGACCAATTGTACATCCTTCTCTGAGAGCATTGCTGCAGAAAACACACAAATACTTTATGATTTCCGATCATGGGGATTAATGAGGTCACATGAATATTGGAATTAATATAACTTTAAACTTAATTAATATAATTTAACTGGAATTAATATAATTTGAAATGCAATTTATGCATATGATGGCAGCTTATTCATTGATTATTATTATCATTGTTAACCGAATCCTTTTAATATGTGAATGTAGTGCTCCAAAAATATTAACAAAGAGTTATGCAATTAATATTTTTTCTGAAAAGAGTGATACATTTGGCGAATAAAAATATTTTATAGAATAAAAAAAGTGTATTTTTTCTTGATAACATACTATTATGTCACTAAATATACATTTCATTAAAAAATAAATCAATAAATTATTGACACCAATGTTTTAATTACTTGTGAATACACTCACAGGCCACTTTATTAGGTACACTTACTAGTACCAAGTTGGATCCCCTTTTTCCTTTAGAACTGCCTTAATCCTTCATGGCATGGATTCAACAAGGTAGTGAAAATATTCCTCAGAGATTTTCGATAGCATCACGCAGTTGCTCCAGATTTGCACATCAATGATGTGAATCTCCCGTTCCACCACATCCCAAAGATGATTTATTGAATTGAGCTCTGGTGACTGTGGAGGCCATTTGAGTACAGTGAACTCATTGTCTAGTTTAAGAAACCAGTCTGAGATGATTCACGCTTTATGACATGGTGTATTATCCTGTTAGAAGTAGCCATCAGAAGATGGGTACACTACACTGTGGTCATAAAGGGATGGACATGGTCATCAACAATACTCAGGTAGGCTGTGGCGTTGACACAATGCTCAATTGGTACTAATGGGCTTAAAGTGTGCCAAAATACCCCACACCATTACACCACCACCACCGGCCTGAACCAATAATACAAGACAGGATGGATTCATGCTTTCATGTTGTTGACACCAAATTCTGAGCCTACCATCTGAATGCCGCAGCAGAAATCGAGACTCATCAGACCAGGCAACATTTTTCCAATCTTATACTGGCCAATTTTGGTGAGCCAGTCTAAATTGTAGCCTCAGTTTCCTGTTCTTAGATGACAGGAGTGGCACCAGGTGTGGTCTTCTGCTGCTGTAGCCCATCCACCTCAAGATTTGACGTGTTATGCATTCAGAGATGCTCTTCTGCATACCTCGGTTGTTACGAGTGTTTATTTGAGTTACTGTTGCCTTTCTGTCAGCTCAAACCAGACTGGCCATTCTCCTCTGATATCAAAAGGGCATTTGTGCCCACAGAACTGCCACTCACTGGATATTTTCTCTTTTTCGGACCATTCTCTCTAAACCCTAGAGATGGTTGTGTGTGAAAATCCCAGTAGATCAGCAGGCTCTGAAATAGTCAGACCAGCTCGTCTAGCTGCAACAACCATACCACGTTCAAAGTCAGTTTGATCTGCAGCAGATAGTCTTGACCATGTCTTCATGCTTAAATGCATTGAGTTGCTGCCATGTGATTGGCTGAGTATAAATTTCTGTCAACGAGCAGTTAGGCAGTTGTACCTATTAAAGTGGCCGTAAGTGTATACTGTAGTTTAGATTTTATTTATTTTTTTACCTATGCCTTATTTACTATTTTTTATATGCTCTGTGAAAAGGGAGGTTTTGTAAATCATTTAGAACATTTAAAAACTTTATTTTCAGTTTTGACTAAATCTCACAGGAAAACCATGTAACGTTTGAGCTAATAGTAGCAAATTCATATACATTTGATTCATTTCTCATTTGTATGAAATTAGAGTGAAGTTTTACATATTCTTTTTGTATAAAATGATTAACTCAACCATATTATTCAAATACTATACATATTATAAAAGAGTTACAAACTGTGAGCTGACTGGTTATTATTAAATGTCATATCTAAAATGTTTACCTGCATGGTTGTTGCAGTTATTCATTCTTTTTTTTTTAAATTCAGAAAGCAAGCGACTAGCACTCCTAATGTGACACCCATGAATGAAGCAGATTCACTTACATGGCCAAAGTGTCCTTTCCTGGAGCAGTTATAACAATAGGCACGTTTCTGGCAGGCCTTTGGATCAGCAGACTTGCGGATGGGTCCTGCAGTGGTCTACAGAGAAACAAATACACAGATTCTTCAGTCAAATTGCTGGACAATTACTACAGTTTACACAACAGCCTTAACTTTAAAACACGTACATAAAAATCGCTTTTGATCAAATCCCCCGGCCCTAGTTTTGAGAAACGTTTGGTATTGAAAAAGTAGAAACAGAAGCACTGACATTCTGTTAAACAAACATTCCGTAGCGTGTTTCTACACTCCTAATAGCAAAGGCTGATGTCCATTTACAGTAAAAGCATCTACTGTGTGACACACTAAAGCAGTCGGGTGAAGAAACCATCAATTAAGGTGACATGAATTCGAGCAGAACCACTACCAAAAACACTCTCTAAACACACACTAGAACACAAGTCCGCTCATTTTGAGTGTGTGAATGCACCTCGGCCCTACAGCGGGCTCTTTGTGTGCGCGTGTGTTGGGGGCAGCCGACTACCTGCGTTATATTACTTGACTTCACTCAATTCCTTTCACTCAGTCCTGTTATTATAAACCTCACTTACATTTCCCATCTCGCTAGTGAATGATGACCCCATTCAGTCTCTCTTTCTCCCATCATCCACTCTGTCTCCTCCTCCCACTCTTTCTCGCAGACATTCATATAATCTGTATATTTTTCTTTTCTTTGAGGTGATATAAGGGAGTGATTACCGAGGGTATCAATAAATCCCAGTAATGCGCTGGTGATAAGACCGCCTTTGGAGTGTGTGTATGTGTGCGCGCGTTTCTCCATCTGGTCCCGGGGAGCCCAAAGGCGTTTCACGCTCCATCGCCCTCCGTAAATACAGCACGATAAAGAGGGTAAGCCGACTGGTGCGAGGGTGTTTGTGTGCATGTGTGTGCGTGCCCGAAAACTACACACATATTGTCTTTTAATGTCTCCTCAAGGGGGCGTCAAAACATACGCACACTCATATACGTGCATTTTCAATAAGCTGGGACACACGCGATCCCACCACGTCATATTTTAAACATATCTTCCTCTGTTCCGCACACTCTCTCTCTCTTTCTTTCTGTCCGTTTTACGCTTGAGTGGTTAAAAGGGTGGAGGGGTGAATGCTATTAGAAGCGTTGGTCATTATCAGCTCAGCGCTGGAGACTGCTCCATCTCCATCACAAAGACACCACCGGTTACCCCTCCAGACACCCACCCATCCCACTCTCTCTCTCTCTGTGTTACTTGCTCACTCTCTCTTTAACCCAAGCACCGTTTGCCTTCCACTGGCCTTTAGCTCTGTGTTTGCTTCTCCTCAAACATCACTACTGCTTGTGCTAATGCTTGTTGGTTAATGACTTAAACACATCTCTAAACTTCGGTGTAGCTTGTTCTGCAAACACAACTGACATCTCAAAAGGTTTGGCTTGTTGGGGAGGAATTGTTACTTTTTCAATTGGTTGATGGAGGTCAGGGCTGTGTGTTTTGAGGAAGAAATTGTAGAAGTTTTGAAGAAATTTTGTAGAAGAGGCTCTTCTGCATATCTCGGTTGTTACGAGTGGTTATTTGAGTTACTGTTGCCTTTCTGTCAGCTTGAACCAGTCTGGCAATTCTCTTTTGACATCAACAAAGCATCTGCGGTCACAGAACTGCCGCTCACTGGATATTTTCTTTTTCGGACCTTTCTCTCTAAACACTAGAGATGGTTGTGCGTGAAAATCCCAGTACATCAGCAGTTTCTGAAATACTCAGACCAGCCTGTCTGACACAAACAACCATGCCATGTTGAAAGTCATTTAAATCACTTTTCTTCCCTATTCTGATGCTCTGTTTGAACTGCAGCGGATCGTCTTGACAATTTCTATCTAAAAGCCGTTGTGATGTTTTTTCATATGGTGTAATAGCTGCAAACAACTCTAAAATCGCACCTATTACAAATTACCTGGTTTTCTTTGTGTCTGTGACTTTCAACTAAAATATTTTAATATTACAGACATGCTGTTTTTCTTTTATGGGTTAGGGTTAGGGTTATTTTTTCTATTAATGCTTCTGACACAGCAGACGCCATTATCCCACTTGTTCGCACTTTCCTGTTTGTTTGTTTTATTGTAGGGATTCATAGTTTGGTTGCGCAATTCTGAAATATTTCTCCTTTTAAATGAATTAGTTAATACAGTAAGTAAAAATTTTTTTACACATTTCCATGAGATTGCATTAAAAAACAAATTCCAGTCACTGAAGATGGAGTTTGAGACATTAAATATCATAAAGTGGCCTCTCCATAAATTAGAGACCCTGGCTCTTATTAACTCTAATGAAACAATTTACAGTTTGACAAGATTAACTGTATTTTTAAATCAAGTAAATGCAACATTGGTAAGAATTAAAGTTTTTAGAGACTCGCATCTGAACATGAACAACATCTCAATAATTAGACTTAATAAATTGCTGTTTACTTTGAAGTGCCCAGTTCACAAACATTTCGAGTTCAGCATGATAAAATGAATAACGTGGCACAGTGACTCAAGATCTACTAAGCCTAATTTACTGAATGAGTCATTAGGCTGGTTTAAACAGATCTTTGTAGAGATCCAGAATCTTTGTGAATGAATCACTGACAAGAATGCGCTCATATGAGTAATTTGTTTTCAATTTAGACTATGCTGGTTGAAGGAAACCCAAAAACAAGATACATACTTCTTGTCTTTGTGTAATTTTACACTTACTGTCCTTTCACACCAAAGACGGCGAGAGCGTCAAAGTTTGCTTTGGCGACAACTCTGTCTGCCTTACTGTGCCGCTGGCGAGAACGTCAAAATCCTATACATTGATCTTGTATTTAAGGGAGCCATTGCAGCATATCAGCAAATCAGTTACGTTCCCAAATAAAAAACGGCTTTCTAGCGTGAAAATGTTGCATGCTTTTTATCTAATTCATTTAATTATGGAAGATCAAGTTGTTGCGTGTGGGGTGGCTTTGTTTCACTTATCCAATGTGTGCATATATCTAAAATATTCAGAAGCAGCAATACTGCTTCGTGTTGTCGTTATACTATAGTTGCCATGAGATGCTTTATTTAAAAAGAAAAAAAAATGTATATATAACATTAATGCATGTCAACTCATCACTAACTTTTTTTAATGCATGTCCCTGTAAGAAACACTATAAATAATTATAGATCGGGCAACCGCAATAATCAAACCCTTAGGAACAACTGTGGTCAGAAGTTCACATGACTGTGTTCTCTGGAATCCTCTCAAGACTTCTACATACTGATTGCTTGCTGCCGAACCACATCATGGCTCATTACCATAAAGTTGGCTTGATTTCAACTCTCCTCAATGCCTACAATGACGAAGACATGCCGTGCCGCTCCTCGCCACTGGTTCCCATGGAAAATGAATGACTTCCGACGACATTGACACACTCGTTACCTTCGATGTGAAAGCACAGTAAGTCTTTCAGCACTATCAGTTTATACTGATGTAACGTTTACACTACAACAATGTACTAAAAACTATATTTTATTTGTGATATTACAAAAGATTTGCATTTTTGAACAACATGACAAATACATGTTTTTGTAGTTTGCACAGAGAATGTGCACCCTTAATTCTTTTCCATGTAGACTAAGGAAACACTGTCTGAGTATTTTAGTATGATGTTCCATCCACATCGATGGAAGAATGCAGATGTGGAAAAACAATTAAGAGAAGATCCGGTTCTCCATTCCAAATCCCACTTACAACTTCACATCAATGGGCTAAAAACCGCTGACAACCACTTATTGTGACCACTTACAATCACAAACGGCAGCAACTTCACAAACCACTCATATTTTCCTCAGAAAAACATTACAATTCATTATTTGTCTTCCACTGAAGGAGCTACTGCATTTGCATAATTGTCCCCTTTTTTTTAAAATGTTTATGGTAGTTTGATAATTAAATATATTTACAACCTCAGACTATTGACCTTATTGTTCAATGCAATTTAGAACTTCCGATTCAGTTGCCTAAGGAAGAAATTACTAGGAATAATAAACGGCAGAAAATGGTCAAACTACTTCCTTTACAAACAAGTGTTTGCATGATTATACAGACAAAGTAGAATAATATAATAAGAAAACATTGGTTTGCAACATCAAGCAACATGACGAGCTGATTTTAACGCCTAAAAATTAATGGAAGTGAATGAGACCGTAAGTTTCATGCCAAGAAGTTTTAAAGAGCTGCGCCTGCTCATACATGAAGAATAAGGTGAAAAGATATCAGGCTACTTAAGACAAGGTTTACAATGAATCCCCTTTCTTTGCCTGACACACTGATATTACATTAGGAAGGCTCTTTTGGTATTATCTTGAACATAGTATAACAATTCATTTACTGTGTTATGAAATGGAATAGAAGTTCAAATGTTAAATTTTTTTACTTGCAAAAACAACTGAAGTCTTTAAATCAGCATGAAATCAAAATTTACAATAATTAGTCTTAAGGTGAACAATTAATCCATACAAGTTAATCCCCTGATAAAAATAAATAAATAAATAAATAAACTGTTTGATTTAGTAATCTTAAATCAAAATCAAAACATTTACATCAGCTCTGGAATGGCAGTCCTTTTATGAGGATAGTTTGAAATGCCTAATCATGCCTCTTTAACCATTCATTTGTTGTTCGTGAAATACAAGAAGAGAGCATTAATAAAACCCCAATCCTTAGTCAATACTCGGTTTCAGTTGGAAATACGTGATCAAAATGAAATAAATGTTTGAAACAACTTTTGTTACACGCAAACTTTAACAAAAACAAGACTACAAGTTTTCACAGACAACCACTGGGAAGTTGTAGTTATTGATATTTTTAACACATTGGCAACAAGAAGCAAATAAAACAAGGACATTTTTACAGATAGCCCTTTTAACTTCCCTGCTTTTGAATATCACTGTTCCTCATGTTCCTCATTTCTACAGTGATCAGATGATGGAATATGAGACTGACACTTAAAGCGATCATGAGTCATTATACATTTCAATAAGAGTGTTCAATTGCCTGG